CTTCACTGTAGCTGCTCTGCCCTGGTTGATCTGCAGACATTGGCACAGGGGTTGAGCTCAGGCTGGTGGCATCCCATTGGTATGGGGATCCTGGAGAATAAGAAGTAGATGCAGAATGTATTGAATGTGAGGGTGCACAACTGAGGCCATCTGTCAAGAGCTGCTACCACAGCTTTGCCATTGCCAGACAACACTTCCAGAGTCCGTATCATTATTCAAGAGGTTGACTTATTGTCCTGTGGAGCCTTTTGCCACTAGCTCCTAACCTTAGCAACTTCTGATCAGTTAATCAGTGTGGGATGGGGAGGTCCACCATGATCAGGGTTGTTATCACAGCTCCCTGAAGCAATCCTCTAAGCTATATTTCTGTAGATGGTATAAGGAGGGAACATGTGAATGATCTTCCAGGCCTTTGCTGTCTTTGGTTTTCCACACCTTCGTGGGTGCTGTGGGCAGCACCGCCATCCCAGCTGGGTTCCAGACCCAGGGTTGCAAGCCAGAAGGGTTACCAAGGGTGCCCCATGAACTGAGGCAGATTACACGTCTTTCAGGAGGTTTCCAAAGAACCTCAGACTGAAAAGGGATGCTGGCACCTTCTTTGTGCACAGGGTCATTCAAGATGTTTGAACACCTGCCTTATGTGAAATACTGCATCACCTCTGTGCCTCATGCTGCCCTGCCCAGATACCATGCTGAAACACAAGCCTGGCTTATCCTCATCCAGAGAGTTGTGCAGAGGTGGAGCATCTGCCCAGCTGCCTGAGTGCAGGAGGGCACTCTCTGGGACACAGGTGTCCAGCCTGTCTCTCGGTCTCAAGTACGGATGGCTGCTGTGCCCTGCCCAGCCTCTTAAGAGCTGAGGCAAGCAAAGGTGCTAGAGCATGCGCTCTAGGACGGCATTTCAGGATGGGATGCTGCCCTCAGCAACAGAGGGGTGAGGAATGGGATGGAGGCAAGGGACTGCTGCTGTTTACAACCTCTTCTTTGCAGGACTGCAGAGGATAGAGGAGCAAGCCTGGCAGTCTCTGAACATTTATAAGGACACAGTGCAGCTGTCTATTGCTTATCGCCATCTTGCCCACAGCCCCTGGGTTCTCAAGGACACAGTTCTCTTCAGGGTGGTGGGAGTATTGGCATAAGCTGCCTCAAGTCCTGTGAAGAACAGAGAAAGGTGAGCTCTGAACAGGGTGGCCATCCAAGTCGTCATGTGGATTATATTCATGCAGTGTTCAGCAGCATACTCTGGGAAACTGTCTCTTCTGGGCCTTGACCTCTGCAACAGGAAAAGGCAGAGCAGCTAGACATAGTAGGCATTTTGGTGGGGACAGGGAGAGATGAGTAGAGTATTGGTATTAGGAAGTGAGAGCAGAAAACATTGAAAACAGCTCCCACAGTCCACTTAGGGTTCAAAAACCTCATGCAGCCTTCATCTTTTTAAGTTTGACTTGACACTGATCACCTCAACAGGTTTGTAATCTCCTGATACGGCCACAGGGTAGTACTGGTGCCTCCAGGGAAGCTTTTGGACTTCTCACAGCAGAGGTTTACAAGTTCCATTTCTTTGGATCTCA